TTTACTGTACATGCGATCACTGAAGCAGCGGTCACCGCTTGTTTCAGCACTTGTGTGGAAGTGTGACGGATTTGTCTTGGGCCCGATGTGTGTGCTTTTAGGACAAGTGGCTGAGGAACACCGGGATCAGGGGAACGCAGACCACAGTCCAGCTGTAGCCAAGCCAGTTTGTGTGAACGGGACAGAGGGGGGTTCTTTGAACAGCAAGGCCAAAGCCGAACGCCGATCCTCCTCCTCATCTAACCCCTCACGCAAAGGAGTCTCGACAGCCAGCAAGATCCGCAAGCTCTCCACCTGCAAACAGCAATGACGCCCTCCCCTTCCTCCCTCGGCAACATCCCACCTGGTGAGTGTGTAGACTGGTAGCAGGAGCTGGTGCTTCTGAAGGACACCTTTTTATACAGTAGGAAGAAGGGAAAAAATTAAGATAAACAGCGAGGGAGAACAGGTGCAGCAGATCCAGATGAAAAGATTGGAGGGATGAAATGAGAATGCGTTAGAACAGACAGATGTAAAGATGAGTATCAGGCAGGAGGAGGAGTGGAAGAGGAAATCAGGGAGGGGAGAGAGAGACTGTGTTGATATTCAGTGAGCAGTGCTCTGACTCACCACCGCTCCCCTGGCAAACACATGGGCGCTTTCCTATACAGTCATGAAAACTAGATCTGGACTGGTCCGGTCTTTTCTTTTCCCTGTAAGGGTCTATCTAGATCATCGCCTTCCAGGGGTTCATCAGCGGACCTCATTCAGATAAAGAAGTGGGGCAGATATATGTTGCAAGCGTACACACCAATTTAACAGGTTGTCCTCCTCTCTTTCAAGTTACCACCCACAGTTTGCTCTTTAAATCTCTCACACATACAAACCACTCACGGCATGAGGCTGTTTGTCATGGCTGCAGTGCAGAGGAGATGCTGTGTATTAATTTGTTCAGGCGATGACTCACCCTGGAAGAGATAAAGTGGGCTGTGGGATGTTTGTCTCTCTCTTCCTCGCCCTGTGGATGAGTCTTTCTGTGTTAACAGCACCAGTTAATACTTGCCTTGTAATAATTCTGTCTTACTATTCAGTGTTATCAGGGCATTGTTTGTTTGGTCATTCTATGGAAACTCAAGAGTCCACCAAACATCTGTTAATGCTCCGTATCTGTCCCTCTCAGGTGTACCTGTCCCCGTCCTTCTGTGTCTGGAGTCCTCACAGTTGTGAGAGAAACCTGCTGACGTTAATGCCCCCATACCTCCTTGGACCACCAGCCTGCAGAGTCTTTTGAAGATGCGGTATGAGTGACCGGGAGGAGGAGGACAGCATGAAATGTTCTTTTTGCTCTGAGACTGAGGCACTGGCTGTGAAGATGGTGTTTTTTTTTTCTCCCATATTTTGGCTCCTTTCAACTCCTGTCATCTGGTCATCCCCCACCCCCCACCCCCATCCTGTCATCCTCTTTTGGAGGGCCAAGTGTTGCACCGGACGTTCCAAACACCATCACCCCTGTACCCCACCCATCCACCCTCTACACCCCACCTTCTGTTTCTTTGACTACCTTTGTTTTTACAGAACCCTAATGGCAGTTTTTAAGACACATTGTGATGTGTAAAAAAATTAAAGAGAAAAAAAAGATAACAAAAGTTATGAATAATTCTATATTTAAATCTATGATGAGAATAATTATGATAGTACTCTACTACCACCAACATAAAAACTGCATGCTATACAGAGCTGGAAGAAAGGGAAAGTGCTTGGTTTGTGGACAGACTGACACCTTGAGATCCACCATTGACCTGTTGGGGATTTTTGATTTTCATTTAGGTTTTTTTTCTTTTTCTTTTTCCAATGAATATTTTTTAATTATTATTTATATAAAATGTGTCCCAAACAGGCTGTTTTGTTGAATGATCCTTTCTTTTTAAGTTTGAGTTGAGCATATTTTTATTATGCAGCACAACTCAGTGGTTTATTTCCTGTTTTTTGTTACTTATTATTATTATTATTATTATTATTATTATTATTATTTTTTTTATTATTATTATTTTACGTGTCCTTTACAAACATACACTGATAGAAAAACTACATTCATCTTTTTCTGGGGCCTGCGAACAGTTTGTAGTCAGATCCTAGAATATCAAGAGCCGATGCTGCTCAACTGCAGTCTGTGTGGCGTCACAACCACCCAGTCGCCTGTTTTCCAGCGATGCTCTTTGTTGTGCCGATCACATCAGCGGGAGCCCTGAACAGCTCTTACGCAGCCAGTCCCATCATCAGCTCCTCGCAGGGAATAAATCAGAGATCTATCAGGTGAGTCACAACTCTGAGGGAGGGAGAGAGCAGCACTTCCCACGTCAGCAAGGTCGACAGAGAGGTTCTCCGTTCGACAACACGCACGAGGAGCAACGTGGTGAGCATGAAGAGACACCTCATGTTAACAGGCTGCACAACAGCAGTCTGATTAATATGTGAGGACACACTTGAAGCTCTCATGGATATGATTCTGCTGTTTTGACAGTTTCACACAGTACATCAGGTTACATGAATCACATTACAACAGCATAATATCACGGGTGGGGGAGTCACTCATTTTTTCCCCACGTTTTTTTTTTTATTAAGAAAAATGTTCAAAATGAAGTTGTGCCTCAGTTGGTCCCACAAGGTCTGGCCTTTGTCAAGGCTGCAAGACATTTGAATTTCTGCACTGTTTTATAATAAAGCAGATGGTTCACCATGAATGAGGACAGAGACATGAGTTTCATAAAATACACACATGTATGTACTGCAGCTCAAACCCAAGTCTGTGGAAGAAGAAGGAACAAGCTGCTATCACAGTCTCCCAGGTGACATTCTTCATCTCACATAACATGCAGCAAGGTCATTTGACATGAACGCAAAACAAATAATTACACTTAACATCCGTACTTGAAGAGAGAAAGAAAGCTGTTCAGAGTTCTCATGGCATTTAAACCCCTGAAATCATTTCCAGATTGGATTAGCTGCAACAATGAATTCATCTATTAGTCTGCAGCAGTTTTTATTATGGATTAAACATTTATCAATCATAAATCCAACCATTCTTTGGTTGTAGGTTATTCAGTGCGAGGATTTGCTGCTTCTCTCTGCTTTATTAAATATTGTTGGTTTGTTGAACAAGACACCTAGAATTGAACCTGAAATTTCTTTCTTGACTTTCAAAACAGTAGTTTGACACAAAAAAACATCACACACAGGTCACAGTCCTGCTTAGAGAATGTTTGCTCAGACTGATGAAGACTGAGGTGCAGTCAAAAGCTCTCCAAAAGCTAGCTAATGGACAAGATGTTCATTTATACACTTTTTTGTCAAAGAAATTTAAGAACTCAACCAATGCGATGGACATTTTTAAGCCCGTTTTAAAAATTTTACACTAATTGAATAATCAAGAAAATAATCTGCAGCTGCAGGGTAAAGAAAGCTGTAGCTCTACCCCAGATTTAACCCTGACGTGTAAAGAATACTACTACATATTTTCTATATTGTACGTAATGTCAACAAATGTCTATGAAAAGACAGAAACCAACAATGTGTCAAATGTGGGTCATTGTGCTCAAGTGCATATTTACGCCATGCCTCGATGTCTGTGGGATTCATTCAAATTGAAGTGGCCGTGTTCATTAGTCACCCAGTAAAGCTTATTATTGGAGCTCATTGATGCGTTTTTAATAGTTTTTAGACAACAAACGAGCTCTATGGCACAAAGTAATAAGCTATATTAGACTTCGGCTACATAGACAGCACTTCTTAGTTTGATCAATTCATTGTTGGTTTTGGTCTTTTTATAGGATTTGTTGACAGTGATAAAAATATCACCAGACTTATCTTTTATTTAGTAATACATAGTGAGTATATTCCATTCTGCTGGGATTTGGGAACAGGCAAAATGCCACCGCTGTTCAGTTTCAACTTCCACTTTCACAGCCTCAACTCTCTGTCACTGAACCATCTGTCTAAAAGCCTGAGAGGCTTCTATGTCAGTCTTTTTAAGTATCATCTGTCAGTCTCCCCCACAGCAGAGTCCCAGCAGTGATACAACACTCCACTAGAGCCCACAGAAGCTCCTGGATACCATCTCCTTAATTATGATACGTAACAGGGACAGATGACTAATAACAAAGGTCCTATAAAAACAGATGAAATATGAGTATAAAAACTCTTGATGCACGTACTTTCAACCACTGCGTTAGCTGTCATTTCTGGATATCCTATCTGTTTTTACTTTTACTATATAATGTGCTATCTCCAGATCTACTGATATGTGTTAATGAGAGAGAAGGCTGCAAGCACATAGCCGTAATGCAAATGATGATGATTTTTGTTTTTTGTTTTTTTTTACATTATCAGTGTTATTCTTCCTGTCACCAAATACAGACACAGCAGCTCTCACATACACATGTACCCTCATGGTGATTGAGACAAGAAGGACACTTGAGGAGGATATAGTTTAAAAATGAGAGGAATGGGTGACAGAAACTCCATCATTATCTTTCTTCCCATCAAAGTGCTTTTTGTTTTAAAGTTAAAACTGTACAGTATTCACATACACATTGTTTGGACATACAGTAGCATGCTGAAAATTCACAGTAAAGTCTGAAAATATTTAATTTTTCTAAAGATGGGTCTATATTTTCAATGCAATGTAATGAATGCATTTGATTTGAAGAATGGTTACCAATAAAAAGGGGCATCACATGTCACACTGGTGTCACAGTGGAAATTAAGGTCTTAATGGAAACACTGGAAGAGACTGGCCGTCAAGAAGGTACTTCTGTCCTTTAGAATATGTTTGATGATGCATCAGTTATCAGACCAAATTTATTTTGAAGACTTGTCCAAATGGAAAGGACGCAGAGACTGACCCAGTATCTAACACATGATGACGTTTGAATTGCTGTAGACCATTTTGTTCAAGTCTGTGTTCTACACGCAGTGGATCTGAAACAAAGTTGATGATGACAAAAAATGGCATTGTTAACGGGTTATATGGGACTGAAGCCAGGTGAGGCTGTGTGAGACACGGTAAGCACATGCTCCGATCCTCCCTGGCCGAGCTCCTCAGCACTGCGCAGACCGCCGTAGAGCCTCTCCTCCACTGACACGACCAGCTTGTCCGACAGGCTGTCCTCTGCCTGCAGGGAAACCTCTGATAAGATAGCTTGACTACTGTTGTTGTTCCTGTTGTCGACTCTTGGATCCATGTGGCTCGTTTTTGCAGTCACAGTGGTCAAAGACTGGCTAGTTGTGCTTTCTGTGTCCTTGTTTGGAGAGACTTGGCAGCCGTTGCCCTCTCCCCCTGACCCTGTACAACTACAGCTGCTCTTTTTTGCATCTGTGCCTTCACATGTTTTGTTGGCTGCACTTTCAGTGTTGTCCCCGGCAGCTCCTTCACTTGAGGGGTCTTTGTTCTCCGTGCTCTCTTTGGCTGCCTCCTCGCCAGCTGCGACCTCACTCGCTTCTTCGTCGGCAGCACTCGCAATGCGTGAGAGTGTGCTGTGATATCGGGTGTCCAGAGGGTAACCGGCGCTGTCACCCCTTCTCAGTGGAGTGAACCGCTGCCTCTCTAAAGATGGGGAGTACCTACCCCCAGTGCCTGACCCTGGGTCGCTGTACTGCTTGTGTCTCTGCCACTGCTTCCGGAGGTGAACTCTAGAGCGGTGCCTGGAGCGCAGCGGAGAGTCCTGCTGGTCGAACCGGGGGTCGTGACGGAGGAACTCGTTGAAAAGAGCGTCTGTTTTCTCATCGATGCTGTAGTCACGGCGGCGGAGGCGAGGCCTGTGAGGACTAGAGGGTTGTGGGATTGACTTCATGAGCGGAGACATTAGCTGTGGTTGTGAATCTGGAGGTTTCTGAGGATGAAGGGATTTCAGAAGTTGATGTGGTTCTTGAAGGGTAAGAGACTGGTTGCCAGTTTGAGATCTCTCCTTGACTTTCTCCTCTGTCCCTGTGTTGTCTGCCATCTCATCCTCCAGCTCCTCCTGAAACAGCTTGGCCTCGATGCTCTCGCACACTGAACCTTTTCTCCCTGAGCTGGTGAAGAACAACCTTCTCTCCGATGCCGTCTTCCCTCTTGGGGCTCCAGGTGTCCCAAAGAGCCGCATCTCCTCAGGGGCCCTGGATGGCGCTTCAATGGAGGCATAGCCACTGTCCATTTGAAGGAGCTTCCGATTACCTGCCTCATTCTCTCCTCCAGCACCACTTCCCATCTCACTGTCCCCACCTGACGCCCCTCTGATTCCTCCATCCGACACCTCTCCCTCCCCTTCTCCTTCAGGGTCATCATCCAGGTCTTGGGACAAGCAGCTGTCCAGGCCGGAGCGAGCTCCTGCGCCGCCTAAGGATGACACGCTGTCGGCATCACTGCGGATAGACTCCCTATCTGTGCTGCTCTGATCTGAGGAGGCATATTGCTCCAGAGAGGCTCGCAAGCTCCAGATGTCTCTGTACAGGGAGGGAGGGGCCTCCGAGCTCTCCTGCCGAATCATGAAGGAAAGAGACGAGCCTGAGTCAGCCCTTTGCCTGGCCTCAGCTCCCAACACCACATCTTCTCCATCATCTGCCTCTGCCTCATTCTTTTTCCTCACATCTACTGTCATACCTTCTGTCTTTGTGTCTTTAGTTTTCCTTAACATGTCTTCAAACCTTTCCTGAATGGCAGCTTCTTGTTGTGCCCCAAACAAGTCATCATCTTCTGTTGATTCTGGCTCGACCCCCAGCGCCCCTGATCTTAAACCTGCACTGAACTTTATCTCTTTATCGACTCCTGTTCCATTGGTTGTGGCCTCCTCTGGCCTCTGGGCACGATAGTCATCTGTTGGCAAACAGGGTTCCTCTCTCCTGGTGCTGCTGCCACCACCTACCTCCACCATGGCCTCCAGTTCTAGCCTGCACAGATGCAGAACAGTCTGTTAATCAGTATTTCTGGTAAATGAATGTTGCAAGTCATGGGTTATAGGAGCGGATTATACCTGCTGAGGAAGACTGAGGATGTGGGTGTAGTCGCGGGGTGAGACAGAGACTCTGCAGAGAGGGACTGGAGGCCGCTGCTCAGGATGGGAGTGTGGGGAAAAGATTCATCTTGGAGAGTTAAAGAGTCGTCATCGGTGTGATCGGTGGTTTCACTTGCTGCTCTCTGTCTCTGGAAGGGCCGTCTCTTTGGCGATCCTGGTAGTAATTCACATAAAAAAGACAGCTGTCTACTAGATGTTCTTCACCTTGTCACATGCAGTTTTTTTTATTCAGTTAGATATTACCCACAGATCAAATCGTACTCATCCGTTTATGACATTTATCCAAACCTTTGGCATCCAGACTGGCGGCCCGGTGACTGCTGTCGAACTTCCACCTCCTGAAGTAAGGCCCTGCCCCCTCCAGACTGGCATGGCGCCGCAGTTTAGAGAAGAAATGTAGAACTGAAGTCTGGCCCGGAGCTTGAGTCAACTCTCCTCTCATCCCCCTTTCGCTCTCAGCCTCTCCCCTATCCCCGATAGCCTCCATCTGACAGGAGAGATGAAGGGAGAGGAGGATAGAGGGAGGTGATGAGACATTTAGGAGGGGTTGAGGCAGACAAGCTGAGATGAATCGTGACGGGCAGAGGCAAAGACCTCAGGGGACAACAGTTTGTCATATTGTCACTCAGCTGCAGTGATGACCGATGTCACAGTGCATCAGTAGCTTTGAGCCTGTGGTGGCTGCTTTTCACAGCTCTGTTTATGAGTGATATGTGTGGATCAGTCCACACTCAAGAACCGATCTGTGCAAATGTATTTTCCCAGCATGCCAACGTGCTGCTGTTTAGTAAGTTTACCATGTTCACTATCTTAGTTTAGTTTAATGCGTTAGAATGCTAACAATTGCTAATTAGCACTAAATAGATATTTAAGTCAAGACCAAAGTGGTCAACTAGCCAACCAACAGACTGACACTGGCTTCCATGGAGACGTGCCACTAGCTTGGCTAAAATGTATTGACCTGTATCATTCATTTTTTAATTCTTGATACAAGGTGGGAAAAGGTGAAACTCACTGTCTGGGACCGTGTGTGCTGTGTTTTCATGGCGGATGAGGCCTGTCTGGGTCCCTGGTCCAGGACAATGGAGTGGTGCGGGTCTCCTGGCAGACCTCCACTGAGGCTCTGTCCCATCCAGTCAGGGACTCTCTCAGTGGGCTGCAGAGAGAAATCAACACATGTTAGAGATGAGAAAACAAACCTGATTTTTGTTGTTTTTGTATGTTCGGATTAAAGTCAAATTAAAAATTAATTTTACCTGGTAGATGGTAAGGGGCAGTTTCGGAGCTGCGGTCTCACTGATGTTGATTGTGCTGCTCTCTGCTGAGTCACACTCCATGATGGTGAGGATCTTAAGGTCGCACGGGGCTGGCGGCAGGTGAAGGTGGGTCAGCCGGGCCTTTTTCAGGTGGTGGAAGTCTCCTTCAGTCAGAGTGTACCTGAAGAGGAGGATAAATCATTAATCATCAAACAGCTTAACCAAATACTGTAAGCTGTAATAATTTGCCTTTAGCACAGATAAAACTGTACCTGCGTCCTTTGTTCTGAGTCGTCTTCTCCTGTTCGTAAAGTGCAGATTCATTGAAGGAGACTCTGCGCCCAGTAGACCCAGTGGAGACAAATCGTTCTGACTCTCCATCATGACAGCTTGAAGCTGAGAGAGCATCTGATTCATCCAGACGAATGGTGATCTCTGAGTGACAGAGAGAGCAAGGACAAACCGAAGGAGAGAAATAATGGAGTTAGTGACGACAGTGGACCAGAATACATATATATCCCATATGAATTTAAAGAAATACACAGCTCTGACCTTGGGTGGGCTGAGAATCCTCAGCATAAGTGGTGTTTGTCTTCTCAGGGTCATCGCTGGCTCTGAAAGAGGGAAATTAGTTTTACCCTTTGTGCTCTTTCACAGAAACAAAAAAATGCCCCGTCACATCACAGCTTTCAGTTTCATATTCATAAGAGCTTTAATCCACTGCTGTCATAATCCCGTTGACTCCTGTAATCCCCGTGTGTTTGCAGACGAACCAGGCCTGCCAGTCTGCCAATGTGTCGCTCGGTAGGCAGCACCCACCTGGAGTAGCGGCGTCCACCCATGCAGCAGCGGTGACAGAAGAGGAGCAGCAGGGAGAGCAGGACCAGCGTCCCCCCAGCAAAAACACTCAGCAGCACCAACAGCAGCACATAGTTCTCCACCTGGCCCGTCGACACCGGCACATCCTGACGAGGTGCAACCAGGAAGAGAGGTTAGGACCCCAGCAGTGCTACATTTGGTCAAGGACTGTGCTACTTGGGGGCAGCACCACAATGTATGAACACAACACTGACATGTTATTTCTCACCATTAATCACACAATTAATTACCAACAAGTTAGCAAACAGACACAGAGCAACAGAGCTGGAGGTAGAGTAGAGAAAATGTAAATTTGACAAGTTACCAGGTTTGAATGGGACAAATGAAGAGTTTATATTAACTTGTGTGCTTGTGTATTTTTGTTTGTTTTATCCCACCCTCAAAAAAGAGGAGGGAAAATAATCTGTATAATGATCCTAAAGCCCTTTCCCCACCTCACCAAGCCTTACAACCACAACATCCACCTACCTCCCCTTGCATCATGAGACACAACATAAAAGTAAGAAGCATTTCCTCGCTGAGAAGAATAGAATTTAAAATTCACATATTGACAATAAATATCAACAGTGTCACGACAAATATTACAACCTGCTGCTCACAGTTCTCTGTTATTGTTTGAGTTGCACAACATCAATTTAATTTCCATCGCTTTCATTCAGAAGCCATAGCTGGAGCTCATAACTCACTCACTAATGGCACAATAAGGTGGAAGCGTACATATCTCTGTTGTCATGTTTTGTCGGGACAGTAATTGATTCTTTTCCCTTTGAGCTTCGTACCAATGAAGAATCTCTTTGTCGCATTACGCTGTCAGCTGAGCGCTGTAATATTTAATAAGGAGTGGAATTAATACTGAAAGACTCTCTTAAGTCCTTTCCTCCTCACAGTGATTCTTATCCACGCACACATCATACATCCTGCCTGCTCATACACACACACACACACACATAGAGACAACACAACTGCTGTCTTCTCTGCTCTCTCTGATTAATACTCTCAGTCTTGGCTGAGTGAGCCTGGGGATGCTAATCGAAACGTCAGCGAGACCCTTAATTCAATTTCCCAGCTCTTCTCAATGAGGGGGAAATGAGGCCTCCACAGGCTAAAAATGGAAATGGGAGGAGGAGGAGGAGGAGGAGGAGGATGCAGACACACATGAGCAATCCCCACACCAGACTTTCCTGGCTCTTCTTCCGATGTTAGCATCGAAAGATGTTGAAAATAATTGAGCTCTTTTCTCTGTCACAAATGGAATATTCATTTATTGTAACATTTAGTGTTAATTTATGAAAATATGAACGATTGTCGTTGTGCGCTGCTTTGGAGGAAAACCATGGAGTGGAGGAGCTCCTCAAGGAGCTCAGACCAACCTGTAGATGATGTTGACCTTAGCGGGAGCAGCAGCTAAAGAACCCAAATGGATGTAAACACACTGAAACTAACGATTATCATCAATTAATCTACCATTTATTTTTCCAATTAATCATTTTGTCAATAACATGTACATTGTATGGTTTTGAGTTTCTAACAATTTGGCTACCATCCATTCCAGCTGTAGCAGACATGCAGAGGAGATGGAGAGAGAAGAAACAGCAGAGAAAGAGGTGCATTAGAAAACAGAGGGTGTGTGTGAGAAAGAGCAAAAGCAGCTGGTTTTATGATGACTCTGCTTTCACTGTAAATGTACTTCCGTAAGACAAAGCATCGATCAGTCTGTTTCAACTTCAATCCCAGGCTCAATCTAACAGCAGCAAGTCGCTACACGGAGGAGAGAGTGCTGCCGAACACAGGGAGCTGTCGTGTTCCTGCTTATAAAACCAGAAGAGGATGAAGATTATGTGTGTAAGAGCAAATGAAAACACCCTTTTTTTTCTCCCTCCTTTTCATTCAACCTCAAACCTGCTTCAGGCCAGAACATGTGAAAGTGAGCACCACGTCACTTATAGAGTACATATTTACATTCATGAGATGCGGCAGTGTCCTACATTCAGTCGAAGCCTATGGGGAGATATAATATAATATGTTTAAATCTGTATGTATGTGTCTGTGTGAGACTAACGGCGCCATCACAGCATGATAGCAACACGCACACCTTGAAACACCCACAGTTGCACGCACGTGTGCGTCACACACAGAATTTGTCAGAGCATCTGTAGCTTAATGAAATCTGCTGTTTTTACAAGCTCAGCCAAACAGGAAGAAACAACACAATCAATCAGCTGGAGCGGCGAAGCCTCTCTCCAGTCTTCGGGCCATGTTTCTAACACACTCAGTAGATGTGAACAACAGTCAATTCTCCCTGCGCACAGACAGCTTTAACTGTCAGATAATCACTGCTGCTGGCTCAGATATCCCACCCTGTCCTCCAGGGGCTGCATGGCACACAAAGCCAGCAGCACACGCAGTCCTGGTTTTGAGTCAGATCCTCTTTGGATACAGATCAAGCGGTCCTCCACTTCTGGTCCACCTGGGATATAATACCAGCTACTGGAACACTGTGCTGTTAACTCAGCTTGTCTTTCTCTTTTACTTGATTTTTTTTGGACTTGACTCGTAAAAGCATCGGGGAAGAATTGTCGTTCACCAGACTACAGACACAAGCCAATGTGAAGGTGTGGACAGTATGTGCTGATGGTGTCGGGCAGAGTGGGAGGGGTGGAGGCAGCAGTACTCACAGTGGAGTTCTCCGTCAGACTTGTCAGAACAGGCAAATCATTGCTCATGGTCCAGGTCAGCGTGAGTGAACCCTGCAGAGGATGAAGAAAGTGAAGACAGTCAGACAGAGCTGCTCTTTCGAGAAGAAAAACACATGAGTGAGCTTCACCGTTACACATGATGACATTTTCTTTCAGTACGATAAACAAACATGAGAAATGTAGTTTATTATCAGCCAAGAGCACAAAATGTGTATTAATCCACAACTGAAAATAGTCCCCAATAAATAAGCCGTTCACCCCAGTTTGAGTTTTTAAAAAAAAAAACTACAGTGCCCAAATGTTTGTAAAGTATTGACTGACAGACAAACAGATGGTTGGTATTGGTCTTTTCATGTTTGTTGACAATTACAAAAATATAGAAAACTACCAACTTTCTCCTTTAAATTCCTTGTGTGTGTATGGATATAATTCTATATAGTGTGATATTCACATGGATATCATGTGACGTCCCTTAGTTACAAAATGAAGCAACATATTGTCTTCACATATGGAAAAACATAAAACATGTGGTGTCACCACAGCTCATACTGTACATGTGTGTTCACATTCCCCTTTACCAGAAGAAAACCACTAGTGTTCAAGGAATTCATGTTCTACAGTTTCAGACAAATTACTCATGGATGTTCTTTTTATGGCTTATTCTGGCACCATCTCTAAATGTTACTATTTAAGCAAAATTAAGGATAATTGTAAATTTTCTGTTGCAATATTGTCGTGTCCTATCCCAAGCAAAGATAACCCTGATGACATTGCAAGGGTTCTTTTTTTCTCAGAGTTTAGAAAGCTACCATGAAAGTCACAGAAAACATCACACATCTGTTTTCACAGCCCAGACATAAGCGCTCACAATGAGGAAACTGATCTGTATAAAACTGGTGTAATGTCCCTTTAACATACTGACGTGATGTAAACCTAACTGCTGTCTGGGCTGAAGGCTGTGCATTAAACTCCAATGAGATTTACTGTCTTCTCCACAAGATGGACTCTTACAGCGCAATAACCACGAATCCCTTTCATTAAAGCCTCGTCTGTGCCTGTAGACTCGAGTCCAATCTGTGTAAAAGGACCATTTCTGTGTTACTGTGTGCATTTCAGACAGAGACAGTCATCAGTATTCAGAGATGGAGAAAAGCGGAAGAGCTGACAGTACATGGTTATTTACACAGAGTGCAGCTTGTGTAACATCAGTCCATGATTGCATTCCTTACACATGCTCCTAACGCTGCCACACATTCCCTCACCGTGTGAGAGTCATACATTATGTAATATCTCAACAGCTCAAGGTAACTATGATGAGGACAAAGCCCTGAATAGCGAAAATGTTCTGACTCTAGAATAGAGAACCACACGCACACACACACACACGCGCACACACACGCACACACACGCACACACACACACACTGCACATGTTAAATCCTTATTCTATTCAATTATCTTCAGTCATGCTTCACACATGATCAGTGTCAGCAGGTGTGTGTGTGTGTGTGTGTGTGTGTGTGTGTGTGTGTGTCTTTTCACTTCTCTCTCATTCAGACCATGCATATCCAAACACAAGAGCAAACAGCAGATTAATTAACAAGTTTTACGGATGGCGCATAAAAAATTCTGTGCTTGTAGAAAATCTGCTTCTTTTTTTTTTCTTCTTCCTCTTTTCTTTCTTTTTTTGTGTTTTGCTTGTCTTTGTCGGGACAGATCTGCCACTCGGCACGTCTTCTCTTTGCTGATTAAATAACAAACAGTTAAAATGGTTGTAAGCTGCCTCACATTAAAATGAAATAAAATTATACGTTACAAGGTATTCAAAAAATGTTTTTGCTGGAAGTCTTACATTTTCCTTTTCTTTCTCATTACAGCCTGAAAAAAACAGACTATTTGTGTTTGTTTTTTAAAATCTGGACAGACCATGAATCTCCACCTCGGCACATTATGTCAGTCAAACTAATTCACTGCTCATCTGCTGCATCCATGTTATAACAATGAACCTACAGTGAATAATGCCAGTCAAAACTCAGCAACACTGGCTCCCTTTATGCATTTCATGTATATGTACTATAATAGGCTATGTTTAATATGTTACCCCATGATGGGTCAGTCATGCCTATTGTTCAAATCCACATAGAACTTTATTTTACATTGACATCCTGATGTTTACAAAAAAAGATCTGGTAGTCTACTAGTAGAAATAATGTTCCATTTGATGAAGTGGTGCAGCCAACACAGAGTTTTGGGTTTAAATGTTTCACACATAATAAGCTACACGATATGTTGTCAGACAGCGTAGAATAAGATGATTCTTCACCCTACTTAAGGATAGAAAGAGAGATAAAAACAGGGAAGTGTATGTTAAGAGGTTAAGTCATCATAATGCTGATTTTGAGAACAAGAGCTTCATAAATTGCCTTTCAGAATAGTTTATTTTGTTTGTTATATTGTTATAACTACTTATTATTATTATTATTATTACTAATTATTGTATATGTAGCCCTGCAGGCTATGTATTTATTACATAATTGAAAGTCATTTATTCATGCCATTCATTTATAGTAACTTCTTTTTTTGTCTCTTTTTGAACACATTTTAAGTTGTAGACTACATTATTATCAATATAATAATAATAATAATTATTATTATCTTTATTATTAATGTTCTTCCTCATGGTTTTCACTGAAAATCGGTATCTAATCGTAAGAGTATAATTAACAGTGGTGACCTCAGAGTTTCACCACCATTTGATTTGTGAGTAAATATTGAGGGTAAGAACCTGAAAACACTGACCCCGACTGGTAGAGAAAATATAAATCCAAAGCGTGTGTGTGTGTGTGTGTGTGTGTGTGTGTGTGTGTGTGTGTGTGTGTGTGCCGGCGTGTGCGTGCGTGTGCGCGCGCGCGCTCTCTCTCTTTAGTTTCCAGGGTCTGATGACATGTTACATCCTCGCAGCATCATCTCCATCTCCCGCTCTCACCACATACACCACGCAGACGGACAGATGGACATCCAACTAGTTCATTCCATCGTTGTATTGATGCTAACGGGGTCTATGAAGGTATAAACCCTGACGTGTGACTGGATGTTGATGTGCTCCAGATGTGCTGTATCTTACGGTCAATGCAGACGGTGTTGAAGCAGCTTCCCTCCGCGCTGTGCAGACTGACTACTGGGACCCGCTGCAGCCGGCGGCGCTCAGCAGCAGCAGCCTCAGCATCAGCAGCAGAAGCATCATCTTCTCCTCTCCTCCGAAAACCCGCGGATCAGGGCTGTCCCACATCTCTGCGTCGTCTGCTCTCAGCCTGCGGGGAATAAATCACTATAAAGTCACGCAAGAGCCTGAGCATTCATGTGGCGGGCACGGGGGCTCCGCCGTGGCCCCTGCGCATCAAACATGTCTCACTAAATTAGATGCTGCGATTATTTTACATTCTTTTTTTAGAGCCGGCTGTGTCACCTATCCCCACATCTTACATAATGAAATAGTACCACATTACACCGTGAGCACGCCTGTAGGTCCATGAACTGGTCCTGGTGTGAGCTGGACAGAGGTCGGACTCACCCGGCTGTAGACTCCGTTGGTAGCGGTGCACAGGCAGCCTGCCCCGTCTGCATACTTTAATCCGAGCTTCAAATAAAGACTGTAGTTATGAATGAAACCACACGCGATTAGACACACCCACCGCCCGCTCCCGACGCACCACGTGACCACCACTGACGATGATGACGGTGATGATGGTGGTGATGTGAAATGGAGGAGAAACCCCGTCCTCATTCACAGCGGTTGCTCATGAATGGCAGCTGCAGACAGGGCGATTGATTGGTTGTCAGGTTATTATCAGAATCGAAATGAACAGATCAAATCTGTATTTGAATATTTTTCATTTCTACAGTGTTTCAGCCTTCGAGTCTTTCCCCGGTGCCAGGGAAGATGCACGAAGACAGATGGGTGCTGTTGACGTTTTTGTAATCTCTCGTCTCACCACCCGGTGGAGGCGTTGCTCTGTAGTTTTCAGTCTGAAACACTCAAAATGGAAGTTTTTCTTGGAAAGTTTTTTTCAGTCCAGACCTTCAGGGGCCCACGACAAGACCCGCAGAGGACCCTCCATCTGAATAAAGTAAAGTTTAACTTCTCTCTAATTCAGTTCGACGTCTTTTCTATCAAGAAGGACATTCAGAGAGCACAAACCTTCATCAAGGCCAATGTCAAACAACATACACCAGACTTCAGAGAAAACAAAATCTAATTCATAGTGAATGATCCAGATCTGCCTGAGAATCTAACAGGTTCTTCCCTGAACAGACTCATAAACATTTCTCAAAAAGAACTAAAACTTTCAAGTCACTCAAACACTGTTGTGGCTCATGTTGGTGTGTAAACCCTGTATTAAGACTGCACAACTAATTGAAATATAGACCTAATCGGCATTGCAATATGGCCAAGTGCAGTATTCAACTAGCAGGAGCTGCAAAAAAAAAAAATCGCAGGAGCTGTAATTTTTTTTAATAAAGGTAACATATGTCACAACATTGTTGATTAAATGCAGATATATTCTGCTAATGATGTTCAATATGGCCGACGTGGCCCACCTTTGTAGGAGTGTTAGTCCAGAGTTTAAGTCTTTGGCCACACACTCTAATCTGAAATGCTTCTTGCAGTCATACCCTCTGCAGTGTGCACTCCCCTGTGATGTAGAAAGTGAAGGCTTTGCGCAAATAGAAAATGCCTCAGCAGCGAAGTGGCAGGAGGTCTAATCTGTGCCTGTATGATAACAGAAAGCGGGAGGATGGTGACTCTGAAGCAGCAAACTTAGTTAGACATCTGAAGAACCTGTTTCATGTTAGTGCACAAAAAAACTTTCCTCCAAAAAAACTTCAGCAAACTGGCTCAAAGAACAGCTGGTTGAGTGACAGAAATAACAGCACACATGAGCAGTGATTTCATTCAGTTCAGAGCCAAACCAAAATGACCTACATGTGTTTACTCCAGCATTATAAAGTCTGCTGGAGGACGGAGGTGTCACTGTTTCACGGATACAGAAGAGATGCTATATCGATTTTGGAATGTCATGTGTAAACTTTCATGTCTTCACAGGTAATGTACCGGGACATTTTTGGGACATTTTGAGACGTCCAGTCCCTTTCCCACTTTCTGAGAGTTGTGCTCAAACATCTGAAACATAAACACAGCATATGGCTTTCAAGGACTTGGGACTTGTTTATACAGTTTAGAGGGGAAAAATGTGACCACTCTGGGCGCAGACTTTACAGCTTTCTGCTTTTTAAGGGCACATGTATACGTTTAATTATATGAATATATTTATAATGTATAATTATTTTAGATGTAATACATAAAGGCAAAGCTCCTATAACCCTGCAACATCAGAGATGTTCACCCTCTTTTTGCATGTCAGGTGTCAAAGTGTTAAAACACAGTAAAACAGTAGTACAAGTAGAGAAAAATAATAAAGTCAGTCAACTCACTCACTACTGGTGAAACTACTGGTCATACGAAACGAAACTCATTCATAAAATCCTAACTCACCTGAAAACATTCAGTGACACGGTGAAAGGGTTTCTACTGCAGTAACTCTGTGTCTACGTGGGGAATTGTAAGGTGCCCTTTTGTAAACCTTCCTTTTGTACAGACCACTTTCTCTGTTCAGAGGATCGGTATGTGGAGTTACTTACCCACTGATCCTGACTGAGGTCACTTTAAACTCAAGCTGAAACAACTTTTAAATATGGATCAGTAATGCAGACATGAAAAGTCTGATCTAGTGCTCGTCATTGAGTTTTATGGTACACTGCTTTTTCTGCCTTTTTTGTGTGTATCTTTGTGTATGTGCAAAGGCCCAACTGATGAGCGTTAGGCCTTTATACAGTGGTATGTGGCACTGGTCCATGCTGCATACTTGTCCGGATAAAAATAAACATTTAAATAATTAAATAATATTTTGGGGCTTGCTGTTCTTTACAGCGGATGGATAAAACAGACGGATGAGTTAAAGATAATGATTAGAAATGCATTAGATTCAGTGATTAATTCAGATTTTCATCCTAATTAAGGATATAAACTGATGCATTTAAGATCATTCAAGAGCCATGAATACTTTTCTCCATCTGTGTGTCTGTATTTATAGACAACCCGACAGTCATTTGATGTTTTCTCAGTCTATCAGTGAGATTCTTGTTGAAATATTTAGGACAGATTCCTCATTACAAATGTTTTTATCTCTAAAATTCCTGTTACTCCAAGGTGTAACATACCAGGGGATTGAAACATCTGGGAAATGATGCCAGGAGAGGCCGTGTAGGGGTGGGAGGAATGTGGAGGAGAGTATGAACGCAGTGTGTATATGTGTGTGTGTGTGTCTGTGTGTATGTGTGTGTGTATGTGTGTGTGTGTGTGTTGCTGGATGGTTGACGTCAGAGCTGCGTCTGTGCATGCTCTGGAGAGCAGGACATCCTGTGGAATTGTTCTCGGCAAGGCCTGAAGAATGTAAAGCAGCAACCTCTCCCTTCTCGCCAGTCTCAGTGAAACGTCGGAGTGACATGCTGCCATGGAAATGTTGGGGATGGGGGTGGGAGGGGGGGACTCAGGGAGGGAAGGATTGCCATCAAAATCTCACTGGGACATAGAGTTCCTCCAGACACTTAAAAGGAGAAAAGACCAGGAAGGGATCAGTGTGGGATTCCTTTTGAATTCTAATGAGGCCAAGATTTTAAATGTCATTTTCTGTGTCTATATGTGACAGTATCCTCAGGGTTGTCTTTCATGTTTGTAGAGCATATAATTATGAAGCATATCAAAATAAACAGAGATGAATATACTGTAGTGAAACAAGGGAAACACAGAACAAACACAAACACAAACACAAAAAATAGGTGTTTTAAATAGATGCTTTTCTCACATGCTGCACAGGCTGATTGTGTTCAGGCAGCAGAGACACAATGAGGTAAACACTGCATGTCTGCATTTAGGAGAGTGTGGAGAGGAGTGAGTGTGGGTGTGAGGTGAAGAAGAGAGGAAGGTGATATGGGAGTGGAGTGACGCAGGCTGGATAAAGCGGGGGTGTTGTGGGTGCAGCTATTTTTAGCTGGCGTGAGGAGACACATATTAGCTGCATTTCTCTGCCCTCTCCTGCCTCCTACGTCACTTTACTCCAAGCTGGTCATCTCCTCCACGCATCATGTGACAGGTGCAGCTGGTGCAGACCCTGCTGTGGACCTGAGGTGGGACACGAATACTAAACAGCAAAGAATGTGAAAGACTGCAGAATGCAAAAAAGGACTGCAGACTCTTTCTGTGAGCATCTCCTCCCACTGGCTGAACAGTGAGGTTATACAGCACCCATACATGTGTATGTGTGAAGGACTGGTCAGGGTGTTTCCCTGCCTTCAACCCAGTGCATACTGGCAAAGGCTTCAACACCCATGCAACCTTGAAAAGGATTGAGAACATTCTTTAAATGATCTTTATATACAAAGATTTTATCCTAACCTGATTTAAATGAAAAACTTATTCAAGAATTCAAATTTGTGATTTTGAGGGCTGTATAAATAAAATGCACTTGCACTCCTGTGCAACTCCTGTGCACATGTGTGTAGCTGGAAATCAATGTGTAAGGCTACAAGCGCTTTTTCATTTTACATTTTCAGAACATTTTCACAGCTTAAAATGTCCCAGAATCACACATTTTTCTCTAATGGCTTTATAATCTGTACATTGCTTGATAAAAATGATGAAATAGAACATTTTTTAGGAGACATTTCAACTTTTCAAGCTGAATCAACTAAAGAGCTGTTATGCTTTGTCCTTGCACCGTGGATGATAGGCAGCTCCAGTTGTGTGTATACTGGTTTTATGATCAGTAGGTTCAGGCTTCACAATTTAAAGTAGGCAATACTGTGTTTTTAGGCCACACAAATAGGCCTACAGATGAGTTAGTCATTAATATTATTATGACACACGCCCTGGGATTTTTCTTTTACACATGAAGTGTGTCATGGCAGAAAAACCCCTGCTGTGCAATAGGATGCTATGATCACCACAGGAGGTACGATCTTGGTAGATGTGTTTCTGATGGAGAGTATGAGTCAATAGGTCAAAGACATTAGTGCAGAAATGTTTATATGCCTCGAGGTAAGCTTTGAATAATGAGAATAATCACCAGGTATTTAAAATCATACAAATTACAGTTTAGTCATTTGATTGAGAAATGAGACAGACATTTTGACATGATGACATGCAGTACAAAATGTTGTGTGGTGCTGTGCAGATTGCATCATTTATGAATGGTGAGATAGGCACAAAACAGGGTGGAGCCATGCGAGAAAACAAGCGTTTTGATTGGACAGTACAGGCTGACCGTTCTTGAGGTTTTCGTTGATTGGCTGGGTGCCCGGATGGGCGGGGCCTACCCTGAGACGTTTGGGTGTTTTACGCTCGGTAGAGTAGAACTGCGTCTGCCACGGCCAGAAAGAGGAACTGTCACAGTCTGTAGTGGATAAACCGTCCTGTAACCTTCATTTTTAAACATCCGAAGATGCTTCACACTGTCCTCTGAGGAATGAGGAGCGATACTAAGAAAAAAAAATTACTGTCAC